AGGACAATCTAATGGGCACATAATTGGCTGGACAATGCTAGTGATACACTTCCAAGAGAGCCAAGATCATGCAAAAAAAGGGCAGTCAAGGAACAAGATGGCACCCAGCACCCTTTGGGGTCTGAGTTGCCCTATGAAGCCCTGTAATAGGGCACATGGGGGACCAGCCACCTGGTGGTTCATGCACCCTGGCTTCTGGTCCCTTCCTTCTCTGTCTGAGGAACATGGACCCTTCATTATTTACCCTAAGCCAGGAATGTTCTGGCCTTCAGCCCTCTGGCAGCCTGCCCACCACTCTTCCCTGGACTTCTGAGCCCATCCTAACTTGCACCCCTCGAGGCAGTGCATGCTCACCAGGCCTGGAGGTGTGGGCACTGGGGCTCACTCAATATGGCCTCCCAACATCATCAGGCCCGAATTAGGGATCCTCTACCCTGACAAGCACTTTGTGCACAAGCTGTGCAGCTGCGAAGGTGAGCTGTGCCTACTGCCCCCCGGTGAGACTTGCTGTGGCGGGGGGAGGTAGTCTTAGAAAGAAAAAGGCTGAGAACCCCCAAACTATAACCCCAAGATGCTCAGGGCATCTTACAGACTTGAGAACTATCAGCCCTGCATTCCCCCATTACAACCCAAATCTTCATGCAAAGCCTGACCCGAGTCCGTATGCAGGCAGGGCAGAATAACTGAAGGCCGCAAAAAGGAGAGGCTTTTAAAATAACGACTCAGGATCCATGTGCTAAAGGAGCACTAATGAGAGATGCTGTCAGAAGGCCGGGAAAGCTGCCAGGGCAGAATTCAACAGATAAGGGGACAGGGCCGAAGCCGGCAAGCGAGGAGAGAGAGCGAGACAGAGGCACACAGAGCTGGGATTGGGTGTTGATGTGGGGGATGCTTTCTTAAATGCCAAAAGGGGGTGGAGGAGAATTAGCAGCAGAATGATGATGAGATCCTCCCAGGGAGCCAGCGAGGCTGGTTGTGGGGGGTGCCCGAGCCCTTGGCGATGGATGTGACAGAGCTGTTTACGGCCGCTCAGCGCCAGCCCCCCAGCCAGCCTCGGAAATCTCATTTGACCTGCTTCCGGCTGAGAGCGGGTCTAGCCCAGAC